CCACCTCTGACCTTTGGAGAGTCCTTGTTTTACTTACTGCAAGTTCAGCTCTGCATTTAAAAAGATTGTCCGGGCCCCGCCGGTGTGGGTCAGTGGTTGAGCATCGACCTATGAATCAGGAGGTCAGGGTTTCGGTACTGGGTCAGGGGCGTGTACCTTGATTGCGGGCACATCCCCAGTGGGGAGCATGCAGGACGCAGCTGATCGGACTCTCTCATCGATGTCTCTGGCTCTCTATCCCTCTCCCTTCTTCCCTGTAAAAAAATCAATAAAATATTTTTTAAAGAAGATTAAAAAAAATAAAAGTCATGTATCTCTTTTAAGTTCTGCTTTACCTGTATGCCACAAGTTTTGATATGGCGTATCTTCATTATCATCTAATTACAATTTTTTCCTAATTTCCTTTTGTGATTTCTTCTCTGATCCAGGGGTTATTTAGAATTGTATTACTGGTTTTTAATTTATTATTTAAGTTTTTAAAAAAATATATTTTATTGATTTTTTACAGAGAGGGAGAGGGATAGTTAGAAACAGCCATGAGAGAGAAACATCGATCAGCTGCCTCCTGCACACTTCCTACTGGGGATGTGCCCACAACCAAGGTACATGCCCTTGACTGGAATCGAAACTGGGACTCTTCAGTCCACAGGCTGATGCTCTAGCCACTGAGCCAAACTAGTCAGGACTATTATTTAAGTTTTTAACAATTGAATTTAATGGGGGTGACATTGGTTAATGAAGTTATATAGGTTTCAGGTGTATAATTCTGTAATACATCATCTGTATATTGTATTGTGTTCACCACCCAAATCTCTATCACCATTTATTCCCTGTATACCCTCTCCCCACCCGCCCTTCCCCTCTGGTATAAATTTTAATTTTTCAAATTATAGTTTATATTTAATACTAGGGGCCCCGTGCATGAAATTCATGCATGGGTAGGGTCTCTAGGCCTGGCTGGCGATCAGGGCTGATCTGTGGGGGACCAGTGGAGCAATTGGGGGTCCCCTGCCTTGGCTGGCCTGGGGCCTGTGGGCAGCTTCTGTTGAGCATCTGCCCCCTGGTGGTCAGTGCACATCATAGTGACGTTTGTTATGCCATTTGGTCAATTTGCATATTAGGCTTTTATTATGTAAGATTATTCTGTGCTAGTTCCAGATGTACAACAAAGTGATTAGAAAATCATGTAATTTACAGAATGGTTCCCTGCTGCTTCAAGTACCTACCTGGCCCCATACCT